TTGTATGTATAAATCACTTCTTGATCTTTAAATGTTCTGAGCTCCATAAAGATGTCATCAAAGCCTGACCCCTCCTACAAAGCTGTTTGGCGCTATTTTGTGTGTCTTTCTAGCAAGTAAATTGTCAGAAGGAATTCTTTAAAAAGATGAAGTTAAAGATTTATACATACAATTAGGAGTTCACAAGTATCAGTTCTGCCCGTTTGAAATCAATAATAAATGAGACTTTGTGCTGAGGGCGGGTGAATGCCTTCATTCTGCAGCAAGAAGCAGAAGAAATTCTTGACACGGAGAAATGCTATGCAACCGGGCGTCTCCCACTCCCTTCCCAGATTTATGCTCTGGTGGGGTTAGTTGGAGCACTGCCCAAACATAGCTTGCTCGACTCTTCTTCTAAGCCCGAAGAAGAGGTAATCAAACTGCTAAACAGCTGATGGATACTGTTTAGACAGTTTAACGCAGCCAAGATTCCGGAGCTGTTAAAGACAACAACCCTTGTCAGGCCCCCGCCCACCAGAATTATTGTAACACAGCAACAGCCATGAGGTGACCATGATTGCCGCCTCCTGCATCTCAAAAATAATAAGACCTCCCCGAAAATAAGGGCAAGCACTTATTTTGGGGGTCAAATACAATAAGACCTTGTCTTATTTTCAGGGAAACACAGTACCAGTTTTAATGTTTGTAAGTTGTTCAGAATTATTCTTGAGGAGTTGGGCAGCATATAAATTTAATAAATAAATAAATACCAACTATAAATTACTTCTGAACTACGAGTAGTTATGCTTCTAGCTTTTTGTCCCAATATGTAAGGAGGTACAGGCTAATGCTGGGAAGATAAATAAGTAATTGGTATAGAATTGCAGCTCGTATATTCAATGTTTGGGGAAAATCTTTTCCCCTATCATCCACAAATTGAGCATTGCTGTTTTATGCAATATATATGACTACGGCTCACATAATTCCATATATATTCGATATATATATTTCACCTTGAGCCTGGTGAGATTCGATCTGCCAAATTACAGGTAGCCAGCAGCCAGCAGAAGTAGCATTCAGTACTGCATTTTAACCACTACACCACTGCAGCTCAAAGATGAGAGTGTGACACTTTTCTAATCGTAAAATAATAAGAAGCTAAGTGCTCTAGGTTTTTGGAATTTAAACCAACAGACACCTGCCACGTAACCTCCCAAAGCTTAACAATTGTCAATAAGAAAGACAAAAATGTCTGGATAGTGAATATGGCAATACCTTGAGAGAGCAGAATAGAAGAGAAAGAAGATAATAATATACAAAGACCTGCAAATAGACAGTGGCAAAAGAAAGCAAAGGTAGTATCAATAGTAATAAGCACCTTTAGTGCAATCCCAAAACAACTGGACACCACTTGAATACCTTCAGCATTGACAAATTCACCATCAGTCAATTGCAAAAGTCAGTTTTTACTCAGAACAGCTTACATTCTGTAACCTCTAACACCAAAATCAATATCTGCCTATCTCAGATCCTTGAGAAGGACTCGATAAGTAGATAAAAATGTTAAACCCAGACTATCCTGCTGACTATGCAATGAACCATAACAATACAAATAATTTATTACCCTCAAACATCCACACCTGCCTATTCCATTGATGGTGGGTGAAAAGGCTAAATCCAGGCTGAATATCTAGCTGACCATGGAACAAACCATAATTAAGAAGTCATTAGCCCTGCTCTTTTCAGTGCAGTTACCCCACTATGTGAGGGCCTTTTATTTTATTTATTTATAAAATGTATAGGCTGCCTATCTTATCTTTGCAGAGGTGGCGCAGTGGTTAAATGCAGCACTGCAGGCTACTGCTAGATCAGCAGTTCAGCGGTTCAAATCTCACCGGCTCAGGGTTGACTCAGC